AGCTCCGCAGTGGGTATGCATTGGGTATGTGTTCGAGGACCAGGTTCAAATGCCCGGCACAGCTGTGACATTCTCTGTGAAATCTTGGGCATGTCCCTGCCGCACTCTCCAGCTCAAACTCCACAGTGAAAAGGGAAGGAGGCTGGAGATGTGCTCTGTGGCCCCTTCCATATCAGACCAACAAAAACGCAGGGACAACACCACAGGGATGAGCAAGGCAGGGCTCTGGAAGTGAGAGAAGCTGTCCTGGCCCACAGGGAATGGACAGTGTGGCTGGAAAGGAAGAGTGTGCACTGTAGGGTAGCAGTACAACATGGCACAGGTTCAGGAGCCATAGTGTGCAGTCAGTCACTAAGTACTCATGGGCATGGGGATGTGCAGGCTGGAGTCATCTACATTAGCTTCAGCAAGAGGAGCTGCCATGTGACCGCACTCATGTGAAGTTAGTTTACTGGGAAGGGGGCCAAGCACCAGCACAGTCTGAGGCAGGACCCGCATGGCAGGCAGTGCTGGGGCCATGGCGTCTAGACATGTAGGAAGCTAGAGACTGTGGTAAACATCGACTATAAGACCTTAATGCAGGCAGAGGCCTTTTCCTGAGCCGAGAAGTCCAGTTAGACAAAGTAGCTGAGCTGCTAGGTCAGACAGTGAGGAGAGCACAAGGCCAGGTGCAGGAAGTAGCTGGAGATCTCTGCTCCTTTTTTTCCCTCTTACTTGACTGTCCTCCCCATGCCTAATGACAGGTTGGGCTCCAGGCCTTCTGGTCATCTTCCTCAGAAACTCCAGGTTCTCACCTCCTCCTGCCTCTTGTCCTTCTTCCTGGGGCTCCTGGGGGCTCCATTCCACAGCAGGACCAGGGACAAGTGGGTCTTCAGAAGACCGGAATTCCTGCCCATTTTAGGGTGTTGAAGTGATCCCGTTATCTCAACAAGACACCATGAAGACTGAACGCACCAAGGGAGAGCTCGCTGATGTAACACTAAGGAAAAACCAGCCCTGTGAATTCTACACCTACAGGGATATATCCATGGCCACTGTGCAGAGCGGCAAGCAGACCTGGGATGAACGAATCCCTTGAATAGTTACAGTCATTGCAGTCACTGTGCTTTACACCTAGCCACACTAAGATTTCTTAAAACTTTGCTGTTTGTTATGTATCAAGCGATTATTCATATGCTTTGGGTAAATCGTTTCTATACATATTAAAATTAATCTTTTACACTTAGAATGCTTTCAGATTCACTGAAGAATTGTGTAGGTATTGCACACATCCCTGATGTGCTATGTTCAATGTCTTCTACTATTAATCTAGTCCACTAGTATGCTACATATCTCACAATTAATGAGTTGATATTGATACATTACTATAATTTTACAAAATTGATGAGTAGAACTCATGTATTTATAGTGCATGGTAGGATAGTTTGATGTGTGTATTAACTGTGAAATTACTAAATCAAGCAACACCACATACACTTAATTTTTTTGTGGTGAGAACATTTAAAACCTACTCTCTGTCATTTTCAAGTGTACAATTCATAGTTATGAACTGCACTCACCATATTGTGCAATAGATCTCTTGAACTTATTTTTTCTGTCTAACTTAAATTGTGTTTCTTCAACAATACCTACCCAGTCTGTCCAATCCCCAGCCTCTGCTAATGCTATTCTACTCTGTTTCTGTGGTAGATTTTATTAATTGAAGTCCTTACTTCATTCAGATTTCCCTGGCTTTTACCTCATGTACTTTCTGTGCTCCAGGATCCCACCTAGGACACCACATTGCTTTTAGTCTTCATGTCTGCTTAGGCTCCTCTTATCCATGGCAGTTTCTGGGAATTATTTCTTAGTTTTGATGACCTTGACAGTTTAGAGGAATGCTGCTCAGGTATTTTGTAGAATGTCCCTCATGTGGAATTTGTTTGATGTTTTTCTCCTGGGGCTAGTGGCTTTGGGGAAGGAGTCTGCACAGCTAATTACCCTGTCATCACATCAAGTCAGTGACACATTCTAACAACCAGAGTTATCCCTGTGGGTCTGCATCTTGGTTGCCTGGCTGCCACAGTAAGCGTGAGGTTTCTCCACTGTACAGTTACCCTTCTCCTCCTTCCCCATGCTGTCCTCTGGAGGAAAGTCACCTGCACAGCCCACGCTTTAGCAGTGGGAATTTACGCTCCCCCTAGAGAGCAGAACCTATAAGAGTTGTTTGCAATCTCTCTCAGTTCCTTCAGGCTGCTATGAGAAGATGCCTTAGACTGGGGACTTTATACATAATAGAAATCTCTTTCTCAAAGTTCTGGGGGCTGGGAAGTCAAAGATCAAGGTGTCAGTGGATTTGCTATCTGCTGAGGGCTGCTCTCTGCTTCCAAGGTGGTGCTTTCTTGCAGTAACCTCAGTTGACTGAAGGTGTGAACACTGTTCTCACATGGCAGACAGGGCAAATCTGCTTCCTGCAGTCTCTGGTATAAGGGCATTAATCTCAGTCTTGAGGGTGACACCCTCATGACCAGATTTTCCCACAAGATCCCACCTCTTAATGCTATCACACGGAAATTAAGTTTGAATATATGAGGTGGAGGAACACCAACATTCTGAACACAGCAGAATCCTTATACATGGGATATTTGTCTATTCTCCTGCAGTTCTTTATTCAGTCATTTACTTACATCAGCATGGACTCCTAGAGTTTTAATATACACATTGGGTGGTAATCCAGTACCACTTGATTTTGTTGCTAGATAGTTCTCACTTTGGCCATTTTCTTCTACTGTACATTTTACACATACGTTGTTCTCTCATCCACTCATGTATTCATCCAACAAGCAATGATTGAGATGATCCCAAGCTCCCATAACTGATCCACTCCTGCCTGCCTTCCCCTCCAAATATCCCTGACCAGCACTCTCTTTCCTCCCTACTCTCCTGGCCCCACCATTTCCAGGGTACATCTTATAATTCCTGGGATTAAAATTTGCCCTCTACAAAATGTCCCAGTATCAAAACTCATCATCAATCCACCGTGGCTGAGACCAGAAGGACTCAGGGGTCTGGTTATGCCTCCAAGTGCCTTGACCACCTATAGGAAGTGCATAGAGAGAAGGAAGGAGGGATGACCCAGCTTTATTCACCAACTTTATTCTTGGCCATCCTGAGAGCTGCCCCTAGCAACAGAGGAGCAGTATGATGGGCTGGAAGGCATAAAGCAGCAGACGCGGGGAGAAGTTCAGTGAAAGGCAGTAGAGCAACACAGGAGGGCTGGGGTGACCAGGCCCAGAGACAGACCCTGTAGCAGATGGCTGCTATCCAGGCCTGGCTGCCCCTCCTCCCCTGGTCTGCAGAGCCCGCCCTCCCAGGCCGACCATTTCGGTCAAGGCATTGACCTTCCTCAATTTTCCCAGATGAGAGACACTGGGAACCTGGGGCAGAATCAGGCAGAGCACCTGACTCCCTCTCCTGAGAGGACTCCCTTTTTTATCCTCTCCTCCACTGTCAGAAACAGATTTGGGCTCGAATGGCCTGGGAGGGTCCACACCTGCTGCTTCCACCTGTGCTGCTGCTGCTCCTGGCCTCAGGTGACATGGAAGGAAAGAGGGCAGGGGGTATAACGAGTGGGATGAAGAATGAGTGGGGCAGGGAAGCAGCGTGGCTCTGTGACCACAGGACAGAATTTAGGGGCCCTCTTCCATGTGTGGGCATCAGAAGTAGTTCCCTCTCCCCTTCCCGAGCCTGTGATGGGGGAAGTTGGGTCCCTTCAGAGCTCTGACCTCGGTATCTTTCTGCAGGTTCCTGGGTAAAGGGCGCCGTGCCTGAAGAACTTCACAAACACCCAGGACAGACCCTCCTCCTGCAATGCCAGTACTCACCCAAGACAGGACCCTATCAGTCCAAGACCTAGTGTCAGTAGACATCTCCAGATTGGTGTACCATACTTGTCAGCAGCTCCAAGCCCCGGACAGCAGTTCAGAAGTCTCGTTACACAATCTGGGATGAGCCCGACGCTGGCTTCTTTAACATCACCATGATTCAGCTGACACAGAACGACTCTGGATTCTACTGGTTTGGAATTTACAACACTTCCAAAAATGTCATCACTGTTCTTAGAGATATCAATCTGGTGGTGTCTCCAGGTGAGCGCTTTTCTTGAGGAAATACCTCTGTGCCACCCCCCAGGGACCTGAAGGAAATGTCATGCACCCACTCCCATGCCTCTATCATCCCCCATCCTGCCAGGTCTTCTGCTCTGACCCGAGGGGAGCAAAGATTCTGTCCCTAGACATGGACTCTCACCTCTCCTTCACCCGGCACATCCTGGCCTCAACTGTTGGGAAGATACCCCCAGAGATCCCTGGACAGAGACACAGTCTCTCTGTCATTCTGCATCTCTCTTTGTGTTACACAGGCACACCCACAACTCTTCTTTTCACACACACACACACACAAACACACACACACACCCCCACAGCTCTGTTATGCAGATCTGAGGCACAGGACACTCTCAGCCTAAGACATCCTGAGGGTCTGGCTCTGGGCACCTACCTCCTCTCATGTATGGGGTAGACCCCACTCTCTTCTGGGCCCCTGGAGAGTCATTGTCTGCTTTTTTCTTTAGCCCCAACAACATCTCCTATGTGGACCTTCCCCTGGCTCGCAACAAGCACGGGTAGGTTGGAGGCCTCAGTGGGGGGAGATTAGAAGGGTCACCAGGCAGCTTGGGAGCCTCAGATTCAGGGAAGGGGAAACCAGGGAGGACTGCCTCTGAGGACTGATCTCCTGGGGCCTGGGCCGGTGGGAAGCTACCTTCAGGGCCCACTGACTGCCAGGGAGAGAAACATGCACTATCTGATGTGATCAGAAGATCGCTATGTTCTCATGATGATGGGCGGGTGTCCCTAGAGGGGAGTCCATATGGGACACCTTGCACACATGTGTCCCAGCCCTCCTGCTACTGGCCTTCCACCAGCATGGAGAGGACAGTGCCAGACTTAACTTTAGCTGGGTATGGAGATTTCAGGCCTCAGTTACCCTTAGCCTGAGGGACCCTTAAGAGCTGCCTCTGGTCCCTCTCCCCTTCCTCTCACACTTTTGGGACCCAATCCCATTCTTTATTCTGGTCCCCTGGGCAGCCACTGTCTTCTTTGTGTCCTCCTTAGTTCTGATCACTTCTCCAGAGGGGACCTCTGGCCATCCCTCCATCAAGGGCTCTGAGACCAGGTAGGTCAGAGGTTTTAACAATGGGAGGGAGGTCTTGGGAAGGGAGGACTGATTAGCTCCTGAACCTTCAAATCAGGTCTAGGGCACGCAAGGATCCTTCTCTGGTGGGTTGGGTGGGTTGGGGCATAGGTTACAGCTGTGGAGCCCCCAGGCCATGACTCCAAGTTTGGTAGAGTGGAAAGGGGAAGAGGATGCAGGTTGTTAATTGTAGAGGAACCATGGAAAAGACAGTTCAACATGGATTTCTGCAATGAGACAAAATGGAACCCAGAAAAGGTGGAAACTGGAGGCCGTGTTGGTGTGTTGAAGGGTGAGTGTGAATAGAGTGACTGCAGCCTGGGGCAGATGGTGGCTGGAGAAGTCAGCCAGAGAAAGATGAGAGGAATACTCTTAAATTCTGCTTCTATCCCTGTAGTCATGGGTTTTGAGGCCATCACGGCCTCCCCTTCACTGTAGGAATAGGCTGCAATAGACTAGGTCACAGGTGCTCTAGGGGACCATGGAGCACAGCAAAAGCCATGAGCGACTGATGAAAATAGACAACCAACTGCCAGAGCATTTGCTTCCTAGCCCTCTCCTCCTGCAAACTCCAGCACGGGTGGATTACACACAGACTATCTCTCAGGGAGTTTGAAGGTGAAACCCTAACCAGAGAACAAGCATGGCAGCTAATGGGGGTCCCTGGGGTCTTGTGCTCTAGGGCAGTGGTCCCCAAGCCTGTGAGAAATTGGGCCACATATTAGGGAGTGAGTGGTGAACCACTAGAGTTCATCTGAATTACAGCCTCTTTCCATAGCTTGCATTATGCCTGAGCTCCGCCTCCTGTCAAATCAGTGGCAGCATTAGATTCTCATAGTAGCATTAACCCTGTTGTGAACTGTGCATGCGAGGGTTCTAGGTTGCATGCTCCTTATGATAATTGAATGGCTAATGATCTGTCACTATCTCCCGTCACTCCCAGATGGGACCACCCAGTTGTAGGAAATCAAGTTCAGGGCTCCCACAGATTCTACATTACGTTGAGTTGTATAATTATTTCATTATATATTACAACATAATAATAATAGAAATAAAGTGCACAATAAATATAATGTGCTTTAATCATCCTGAAACCATTCCAACTCTCAGGTCTGTGGAAAATTTGTCTTCCACAAAACAGTTCCCAGGTGCCAAAAAGGTTGGGGACTGTTGCTTTAGGGCTTTTTCCTCTCATTTTTAACCCTCAACGGCTAGAGGATTTAGTCTTCCATTCTTCCCCATTACCAGATCCGTATCTAATACGCCCAGTGGAATCTGAATCCACAAGCCAAAATACCTAGGTTTCTTAGCAGAAGCACTACCTTAAAAGAATGGCAACACACCCAACAATAGAAACCTGTGAAGCAGAACTATGGGAACTGCCCATTCCCCAGGAACTGAAGCACCTATCATCAGTCTGGCTAAAGGGGTGAAGGGAAACATGACCTATGTGGATCATGAGGATGACCCATTGGAAAAAAAGAGCCAAATGCTAATCATAGTTGTGAAAAATATTATAGATCACAATATATGTGATGAAGGATGGCCATGGCTGGCCAGTGAGCTGTAAGAAGTTGAGGAATTCTCACAGAAGTTCCTGGAAAGAACTGGACACTTAAAAACAAAGAGAAGTCAGGAGACATGAAGGAAAAGAGTAGATGTACTAATGTGTGGGTATCAAGAACCCCTGTGGGAAATAAAGGATGAAAGAAAGAAATATTTGAAGAAGGAATCCAGGAAAGTTTTTCAAAATTATAGAAGAAAAGACCTCAAATTGAAAAGATTCGTACATTGCCAAATAGGGGAAAACAGCCAACACACACAAAAAAATACCTCTACACCCATTATGTAAAATGGAAGAACTTAAAAAGCAGAGGGAAATGTCTGAAGGCTTTCAGATCACCTACAAAGGAATACGAATTAGACTTCTTAAGAGGAACACTAGAGAAAAGAAGACCATTGAGTAATATTTCTAAAGTACTAAAGAAAAACTTTGTATCCAGTGTTTTGTATTCAGCCAAATTGTCACTCCAATGTGAAATCATAAAACCTCTGGATTCTCAAGGCCTCAGAAGGTTTGCCACATGCAGAGATCCCCATTGAAAACAGTCCTGGAGGAAGGACTCAGCTAGGATGAAAAATAAACAATGGAGACACTGCTAGAAGTGAGGGAGTAAGTGTGCCCAGCATCTTGGGAAGGTTTATTTTTATCTTTTTTAATTCATAGAAATGGCAGCTAAGAGCAAAATGAAGAACAAGAGAAAATACATTCATGGTCATTGAAAAATAACATTCTAGACCAGCAGTCCCTAACCTTTATGGCACCAGAGATTGGCTTCGCAGAAGACATTTTTTCCATGGACTTGGAGGTGGGCGGTGGTTTCAGGATGACTCAAGCGCATAACATTTATTGTGCACTTTATTTATTTATATTATTATTACATTTTAATATATAATGAAATAATTATACAACTCACCATAATGTTGAGTCTGTGGGAGCTCTGAGCTTGTTTTCCTGCAACTAGACAGTCCTATCTGGGGGTGATGGGAAACAGTGGCAGATGATCAGGCATTTGATTTTCCTAAGGAACGTGCAACCTAGAACCCTCACATGCCCCGTTCATAATAGGGTTCATGCCGCTACCCTCCTGCTGTGCAGCCAGATTTCTAACAGGCCAGGAACTGGTACTGGTTTGTGACTCAGGGGTTGGGAACCCCGTTCTAGACAATATCAACATGGGGTGAGAAGGAGAGACCAGAAGCCCATGAAAGGATGGTTGGGTACTTGTCTCATGAGAGGCAATATGTAGATATTGATAAGCTCAGTGTAGCAATTGTACTAAACCAATGTAGATAAGAGTCTTCAGGTTAAGTCAAGAGAATGTATACCCTTTCATCCAGCAAATTAAAACTCTAGCCAAAGGAAAGCTGGAATCAAATTTTTTAAAAATAAAGCACAATAAATGGAAAAAGTGAAATAAAAAGGTAGAATTACGTCCTAACATAAATGCAATTCCAATAAATTTAGGTGGATTAAACTCACAAAATAAGGACAGGGACACTTTGAGTTTTAAAAACTGCAATATTATACTATCTATAAGAGATACACATACAAAAAGATTTTAAAAGGTTAAAAATTTAAGCCAAATAACTAATAAATTCCAGTATAATACCATATTTTTATCAATATGTTACATATTTTATGAGATATTTATAATAATATAGGATACATATAAACTATACTTTTAAACATGTATTTTCTTTTTTTTTTTTTTTTTTTTTTTTTTTTTTTTTTTTTTTGAGACGGGGTCTTGCTCTGTCACTCAGGCTGGAGTGCAGTGGCCGGATCTCAGCTCACTGCAAGCTCCGCCTCCCGGGTTCACGCCATTCTCCTGCCTCAGCCTCCCGAGTAGCTGGGACTACAGGCGCCCCCACTTCGCCCGGCTAGTTTTTTGTATTTTTTAGTAGAGACGGGGTTTCACCGGGTTAGCCAGGATGGTCTCGATCTCCTGACCTCGTGATCCACCCGCCTCGGCCTCCCAAAGTGCTGGGATTACAGGCTTGAGCCACCGCGCCCGGCGCATATATTTTCAAATATATAAAAATGTAGTTACAGATTGAAAAATGTTCTAAACTATATAAATCTTGTTTTAAATAGTTTAATAATATATAATAGGGTTCACGCTACTACAAGAATCTAAAGCCACCACTAATCTAACAGGAGGCGGAGCTCAGGCAGTGATGAGTGCAATGGGGAGGCTGTAAATACTATGAGGCTTCCCTTGCTCACCAGCTACTACCCTTCTGCTCTGCAGCCAGATTCCATATATTATGTATGTTTTATAAAATACAGTATTCACAAATATAAATAGTGTATAAGTACACGTATATATGTTTATAACCCTCTACATAATAAAAACAGATAGTATACATTTTTTCAAATACATGGAATGTATTTACAAAAGGACACCTTGTATGAGGACATATAAGAAGTGTGAAGAAATTCTAAAGAATCAGTATGACACAGAATATATTCTCCAGACCTAATGCAATGACATTAGGAATGCATAAGAGAAGTAAAGATAAAATAGCACTTTTCAAACTATTTACTAATACATTCATATATGAATGTTTAAGTATGCAATAAAATATATTTTTATAATATGACCACTATATATCAAAAAGTATGAGGCATACAATATTAGGGAGTAATCAGTACCTTTGAATACATTTGTTGGAAAACATGAAAGCTTTCAAATTAATGAGCTAAGGAAGCATCTCAAGAAGATGGAACGTGAGCTTCAGAGCAAGCCCAAAGAATCATGTAATTGAACGATTGAGAAAGGAGACCAAAGAAATTCATAATTCATTCTTTAAAAGTTTACTAACATAAACATGTTCTTGCCAAGATAAAAGAAGATAAAGAATAAACAACAAATCGAAGAAAAAGAAAATAACCACACACTCATTCTACAGAGATTTTAAAATAAGTAAATCCTGAATAAAATCTTGTTGTTTTAAATCCTAGAAGCACACAATTTCATAACAATATGAACTGCCAAGATTAACACAAGAAGAAACAGATTTCAATAGATTAATAAATAGGAAAACTGAAATGGTTGATGAGACCCATCCTCACAGAAAATTCAAGACTCACATGTTTTCAGGTAACCCAATTTTTAAAGAAACATTTGATTTATATTTCACACTAGATGTTGCAGAAAATAGAAAAGAGGCAAAAACGGCCCAGGTCATTTGAAGCGGTTAGTGTCATCAAAGTCTCAGAACTAATTAAAGGCGATACAAAAAAATTACATTACAGGTTCATTTATCTGATGCACATGGGGTCAATCCTCAAATTACCATTAGCTAACTGAATTCAAGAGTGCATTGAAAAGAAGACTGATTATAACAGAGGAGATTTTTATCACAAAACAAAAAGGATTGTTCAACTTTACAAAATCTATTAATATAAGTCAACCAAATTCATAAACTACAGGAAAAAAGTCAACTGCTGCACAAAAAGCATTTGGGAATATTCAGCACATTTATGTTATATGAAAAAGCTCTTAATAAAATAGAAATAAAAACAGAAAACTTGGTAAAGATTGTACACCAATGATTACAATAAAGATTACTTATTGGAGGTATAAACTCAAATTAAGGATTTTCACAGCTACCATAAATGTCTTCTAAAATATTAGAGGTTCTGATCAATGCTTGAAGGAAAGGAAAACAGGTTACAAGAAAGAAGATTAGACAAGAAGAGGAAAAACTGTCATGACTTGCAGATGATGGGATCATCTACCCAGAAAAAGAATGAGAAACAACAAACTATTAGATGTCACAAGAGAGTTTAGCAAGGCTGCCAGAGACAAAATCAACTGACATACATTACAAATAGATTGCTATGAGGAATAATCATTTAGAAAAATAAGATAGTTTTCATTACAGTCACAAAGTCTATAAACTTTCTAGAAAGAATTAATTTAACCATGACCTATCTGGAGAAAACTACAAAATGCTAAAAAATGACAGGTGATCTGAATAAATAGAAATAATCCATGACTTTGGAAGAGGCAATAACATTGTAAAGATGTCAATTTCTCCCAAATTAAAATGTCTTTAAATGTAATCCCAAACACAACTTGTTTACTTTTGTAAAGAACTTGAAAAATTTACTCTAAAATTATACGAAAAAAAGAATATACATGAGTAGCTAAGTCAACCATGAAAAAGTGAAAATAAAAAGAGCTCACTGACTTTATTATATATTAAGTAACACTGAAGCAGAAAGTTACTGAGGCTACAAGAGAAAAGCAGATTTGCTGGGACAGGGTATTCCTAGAATCAGAGCTAGGCAGGCCAGGAGTGGGGACTACACAGAGGGGACCAGGGAGGACCCCTGGGACCAACAGACAGGAGGTCTAGGTCTGTGCTGTCACTGCTCCTAAGGGTCTGGTCAGGTCCTGTGCAGTCTCTAGGCCTCATTCCCTCAGGTGTGATATCTTGGCTTGTCTTGAAGATGCAGTTGGCTCTGATTCCTAAGAGGCTCCTGATGGTCTGGTCCTACCTGACCTGGTTAAGGAGAATTCCTGCTCCCCTGGCTCTATCCCTCCCCTTACCTGAACTCCAATCCCTTGTTCCTCCCCTGGCCAGCTTTTTCCTCCATTTAAGACTTTGAGGTTCCTTCTGACCGGATCCCCTCTCAGTCCCAGAGATCTCTGTGGCTCCTGCCCCAGGCCCCTGTGTCCTAGTCAGTTCAGGGTGAGCCCTTCTACAAACAGCTCCAGCCACAAAGGGCCTGCCTGGTTTAGGGACACCGCAGGAGGTGGTGACATCCTGGCCCAAGTTCGTCCTCCTTTCTCCTTCCTCCCTGCAGGAAATCAAGTTCCCCCGCCTGCCTTGGCTCAGGTGGCCCCAGTTTGCTGGTCTCTGTGCTGTGTGGACTCCTCACAGCCAAGGGCCTGATGCCGTGAGTACTGTTTGTGTTCCTGACCCGCAGGTGCCACAGGTGAGAGGGGCCTGGATTTGGTCTGGGGGGCAACGGAGCTGGGGCCAGATTCTGTTCCTAGAAAGATGGCTAGGAAGAAGCAGCCAGATCACAGAGCCAGGAAAAATGACAGCTGGGAACAATTTAAATATCTGTTTCCTTGCAATCTCTGCCTTCCTGCCGACGCAGACCTTAGAAAGAGACAGAAGCTTTCTGGGAGTCCCATCCAGGGCTCTGCCTCTGTCTTTGTCCTAAGAGGAAAAAGACCAGGAGGACAAAGCTGAGAGTGCCTGGGTAGAAGGTTTAGGAGACAGGAAGGGAATGGGAAGGAAGCAGGTGACTGGGAGAAGTGGGGGCAGGGGCGGGAAAAGGAGTAACAGGTAACAGGGACAGGGTGAGACAAAGGATCAGAAAAACATCACTTCCATTCATGACTTTCCCCCTCTTGCTCCGTCTCAGGACAGCAGTGACGGAGGTTTCTGATTGTCCCAGCACAGTCTTGTCCCAGGACCCTTGGGTGCATGAGCCTCAGCGTGGGTCCAGGATGAATCCCAGTTCTTCCCCTGCCCAGCTATTGGGAGCTGCCCTAAGCATGAGGCCCCACCTCCCCGTGAGGAAAGGCCAGCACTAAGCCTGTTGGGGAGAACTTTCAGCTCCCCATCTCGCCGGTGGTGACCGCTCACCCCTGCCCTGAACCCTCTTAGATCTACTTCCGCTGCCCTGCCTTCTGCCATTGGGAAGACCTGGGGCAGGGGTTTCTGCATCCGGGTCAGTGCCCAGCTCAGTATCTTCAGCAGCGCCTGGTCTCCTCTCCAGCACTCTGTGGTTCTCTCAGCCCCGTCCTGGCAGGTCTCCAGGATCCCTCACATTTTCTCTGTTTGTTGCCTGTGGTCTGCCCGAGAGTCCTATGAATTTCCTCTTGTGCTTAATTAAATTCAGCCTCTGAACTGGAATGTGTCAGGGGCAGCTGAGCAAGAAAGCAGGTGTATCCCCTCACCTTCCTCCCCTCCCACCTCAGATATCCTAAATGAGAGAGAAATGACTTAAAAATAAATGATAAAATTGAAACTAAGAAAGGTTGTAATCAGCAGACTGAAAGCTGAAGAAGATCTAGAAGTAAAAGAAAAAATTAGATGAGTTAAAATGACATAAGCAGGAAACTCAGTAGCCTAAAACAGGACCCAGAACATTCATCCATAAATGGAATCTGATAATCTGGGGCCGAAATTCTGTTTGCTTAACATGTGAGATTCATAGCCTAAAAGAGAAAATCAAGTTGAACTAACAATAATTGACAGTGGGTGAAAGATAAATGTTTTAGGGAACAGAAGAGGAGCACACATTTATGAAGCAAGAATAGGTACAGTCATTTTCCAACTAACATCTAGTGAGACTGGGATTGACCACTCAGAATGGGGGTCCACCATGAACAACCAATTTGAGGTACCAGTGCATAGCAGCTGAATGCCAGCCCTGAAAAAGACCACTATAAATAGAGCACCATTTTCGTTTGCTCTTTTGGGGATGGGGCATCAAACAAAAGTCTCTTCATGTATATCTCAGCTCCTGCCACGTGATCATCACCTATCTGTGAGAGGCATCACTTTTGCTTTGTTTCTTTATTTTTTTTAATCCTCATTCCTTATTTCCACTTGCCTTCCTCTCCGAGGCAACCACTCTAATGCGTTTGGCATGTAACTTTAAATTTGAACGTATTCTTATAAAACATGCAGTATTTTTTTTCTGTGACTGTGTTTAAACTTACTTAGAAGAAATCGTGATAGACCTTTTTCATATGCTTGTCTTACTCCTTGCTGGGCGCATATGCACAGCCCACTTTTTTTCAGTGCTTACTACATTGTGTACATATCCCATAGTGCACCATTCCGAACCCAGGGTGCATGTGCTTTTTTGCCTTCACTTCTTTATATCGTAAATAATGCTGTGATGAATAACCTCCTTCAGGTTCTCTTGTGGAATCATGTGAGACTTCCTTTAGCACTTATACACAGGTGGCATCAGCTGGGTTGTAGGATCTCAGACATCTAATTAATACTGCCAGCTTGTGTTGCCTGAACCAAGAATCTAGACACTAGCGATTATGTGTTTTCTTTGAGTCTATGTGAAGCACATAGCACAACCCTTGGAATGGTATTGCCAATATAAAAAAAACGAACGGCAAAAATAAATGTAGCTGAGTGATGCTACGTGGAGCTAGATATATGATTATCTCTACTTTTGTGTATGCTTGGAAATTTTCATAATTAAAATGATACCTAAAATTAAACAATTATGTCTTGAAGCCACTGCTATTTGGTTTTCAGTCGTATGTGGCTGACCCCAATCCTTTCTTGATTTATTGAACTTTTACAACTGCAGTGGGTTGGGAAAAATTCACTTGTAGTATGGAAATATTGAGCTTCACTTAAAGAACATTGGTAGTGGGATAAAAATGGACTAAATAAAAATAGGTCTTCTTTAATCAGATGCTAAGAGCTAGCATTTAGCTATAACTTTTAAATATTTTTTCTTAACATCCTTGGCCTCAAAATTGTCATAATTCCCTTAACCACAATTTTCAAGCAGGTGGTAAATTCTGTGTCATAAGCTAACATCTAAAAAAAGTGTATCTTTCTTTAAAATTTTGAACATTTTTTACTGTTTTCTTATCTTCATTGTGTAGCTATGGAAATGTCTGATAATAATCTGATAGTTATTCATCTTCACTGACCAATTTTATCTCTGGAACATTTTATAATTTTCTTTTTGAAATTTTTATTATAATGTGTTTAATGTGGGGTAATTATCCGGGTTTTTTTTCTTTTTCTTTTTCTTTTTTTGGGGGGAGCAAAAAAGTGGGATAAGAGTCAGGGAGTGGTTGGGAAGCCTGGCAACAAAAGGCAGAAAGAGGGAAGGAGCAGGGAGCCAAAAGCCTACATCACCTGGTCTTCCCAGGCGAAATCCTATCCACGTACTAACCAGGCCGACCCTGCCTGGGTCATGCCTCGGGCGCGTTGAGGGTGGTATGACCCTAGAGGCCAGCGGTGGCCCCTGGCTGCCCCAACAGCCCGCGGTGCTGCAGCGGCGGACCCCCACGAGGAGGTCCCGGGTTCCTGCAGGCACGCAGGTGGGCGGAAAAGGGGGAGAAGAGTCAAAGGGTGTTTGGGAAGCCCAGCGACAAAACGAGGAAAGAGGGAGGGAGCGGGAAGCCAAAAGCTTGATAATCCATTCTATTTGGAACTCTCTGAACACATTCAATCTGATGTCTTACATATTTGTTTAATTCGGAAAAATCCTTGGTATTATTTTTTCAAGTAGTTCTTCTACTCCATTTACTCCTTTTTCTCCTTTAGGGACTTCTTTGAGGAGATATTGACATTTCTATTTCTATCCTCCATACCTCTTAATGTTTTTTTTACACTTTCTATCACCTTATTCCTTCCTACTGCCTTTAGGGAGCTCTCCTTGACTCTTTCCCTTATGTACTCATTCTTCTGCTAGTCATTGCATTCAGAGTTTTCTTTCAACAATGATCATTTTCTTAATCAATGTTTCTAATTTTTTCTTCTTCATTATTGCTTGCTCCTGTTTTATGCCTCTAATATTGTCCTGAGAATATCTACTGTGCTCTGAGAATATCTACTATGCTTCTTTAAATCATTGTTCTCCCACTGGTTCTGCTTTCTCTGTAATAGATTATTCAATTTGTTTCTCTATAAGAAATTTGTTCAATTTGTTATCTTTTATAGCATTTGGTAATTTTTCTTGTGTTCTCATCTTTTATTCCCTTCCCACCCCCTTTTTTTTTTTTGAGGATCAGTGAATTACTACAGATTTCACCACCTAAGGAAGCCCCAGAGGTAAATAGAGTTGATGAGTTTGCCATAAACTGTCCAAATATATAGATACACTTACTATATCACAAAGATAGCCATTCACATCAATGAGTTTATTTAACAATGGAAACAGCATATGTTTAACTATTTGGAAAAAATTAAATGCTACCCTCTTTTCATACTATAGTCTAAAATAAATTTTAAATAGATCAAAGAATTAAGTGTTAAATGAGAAAATATTAAATAACTAAAAGAAATAACTAAGGATACAATTCTAGTAAGGATGGGCATAAGCAGCCAATATAATAGAGACATAAATCATAGAGAAAAAAGGCTGAGAGATTTTCCAAAATTAAAATTTTAAAACTAATCTGTGTCCAAAGTAAGTCATAAAGAAAACAAACAAGAAAAGAACAAACTCAGTAGAGTTTTTTGGAATTAAACTAGAAATCAGTAGCAGAATAACAAAAGGATATTTGGGAACTAAAAACTATAATAACCAAAATTAAAATCTCACTAGATGGACACTATAGGGTAGTAGAAATGAGAGGATATAATTAGTGAACTAAAAGACAGATCAATAAATTTACTCAGACTGAACAGAGAGAAAACAGACTGAAAATAATTGAACAAAACCTCGGCTATCTGTACGACATTACCACAAGAGCTAACTTTTGCATCATCAGAGTCTCAGAAGCAAAGGAGAAAAAGTGTGGGACTAAAAAATTATTCAAAGAAATGTCTGAGCTTCTCAAATTTGGTCAAAGACATAAAGTTACTGATCCAAGAAAGCTTTTGGGATGATGGCACCCTTCTCTCTTGATTATGGCATTGGATACCTGGAACTCTCAGAACTGTTCATTAAAAAGGGTGAATAGTACTGTATGTAAATCAGACCTTAATTTTTTAATGGGAAAAATAAATGTAAAGACAAAATACACTGTTGTGTTAAGTCATTTTGGACATAAAAGTCTAATGTATACATATTTTTAATGACTTTGACCAATGCTTCCAAATTTCTCTTAAGAAAGGTTGAATCCAGCGCATACTTCCTCAATCAGTGAATGAGTGTTTGATTCCTTGTACCCTTATCAGCACAGTGATCCCAAGGGTCACAGTTTCGATGATCCCTGGCTCAGTGCTGGGCACACTGTATTGGTTTCATAGAAGCATGGATTGCAAGCGCATGAAGCCCCCAAAGCAACTTACTGTTCTAATGGGGGAAGGGATGAAGGAATATACTGTGTGTGTTGGGGAGGGAGATGACCGCTGAACTCAGGGAGCTCAGGAAGTTCTGAGGACTGGGTGGGAAAAAGAAAGGGTGAAGAAGGAAAACAAAACACACCTGTGAGCTGAGAGGTCTCAGGTGACAACTGTGTCTCATTCCTGTGCCCCCAGTGCCTACCTAGCCCCATGCATAGCAATGAGGTTGTGGGAATGAACAAATGAATGAATGAATAAGTGAGTGAATGAGTTGAGAGACTATAAAAGCTTAGGGTCAGCCGAGATAGACTTTGCTTGGAGCTTGGGGGGTCCAAGGTCAGTTTAAGATTGTGGCCGTGAAAGCTTGAGGACTTTTTGCTCTGAGTCCTGTTAAAATGAATGAAAATGGAGACCAGGCCTGAAGAGTCCCTGAGCAGACAAAACCAGTTAGGCCTCATAAGTGACCTCAACTTTGCTTGATTTGCAAACATCAGTGAAACTTAACTTGAGCTATTTCTTGTAAATGTGTACATTAAGGAAGAACAGAACTTAAGCTCAACCAGTCAGAAGAAGTCAACAAGCTTATGTAGATAACTAGGGTCTTTCCAACAGGATAGGCCAAATAAGGGAACTGTATAACTGTAACCAGTTAAATATTTTCTTCACTTTACTTGTCCTGCAGGAGTCTTCCCCTTGCATTCCTCCAGTGGAGCTCCTCAACCTCTTCTGCTTGGAGCTGCCTGATTCATGAATTGTTGTTTGCTCAAATAATCTGTTTAAAATTTTATTGTGCCTCAGTTTACTTTTTGACAGTCCCATCTAAGGAGTACAAACATGGCACTAGTGAGTAGGGGGAGCATACATAACCATGGGGGTCCAGCTGGGTCCCCACACACTGAAGGAGCAGATGGCACAGGTACTGGACATCAGAAATCAATGCTTCTGATTCTAGGCCTTGGGGTAAGTGAAGGGTGTGGTCTTGGGCAAAGTGCTGGTCATTTCCACTGGAGCTGGAAGCAGCACAGGCGAGACAGGGTTGAGCAGGGGGAAGTTGATGGGGCTTTCCTGCGTGCTGACAGAGGCTGGAGGCAGGGGAGGAAGGGGCTCTTGAGATGAGGTGGGTGAGGGAAAGCACTGTGGTGGCTTTAGGAAGCCTGCCCAAGAGACTAGGACTCTAGAGGGAGCTGGTGATGAGTAGAGACGACAGAAGAAGAGGCAGGGAGAGGGATAAAGGAGATGCATGGATAGGGAAAAGGAGAGGCGGCTGGAGGGTGTGTGAGACTGTGTGCATAGGCGTGTGTGTGAGAGAGAGAGAGAAAGCAAGACTGTGTGTAAGTGTGAGTGTATGTGCACTCACATCCATGTGTGAGAGTATAGGAACCCCTCCCACAACCCAAACTTTATGGGAAACCAAAAAGATTTCAAGTAAATCTGTAAGAGGTTATTTACAAGAGTGAATATGGCTGGGCATGGTGGCTCACGCCTGTAATCCCAGCACTTTGGGAGGCCGAGAAGGGCGGATCATGAGGTCAGGAGATCGATACCATCCTGGCTAACACAGCGAAATCCCATCTCCACTAAAAATACAAAAAATTAGCCGAGTGTGGTGGCCGGCACCTGTAGTCTCAGCTACTCGGGAGGCTGAGTCAGGAGAATCGTTTGAACCCAGGAGGTGGAGGCTACAGTGAGCTGAGATCACGCCACTGCACTCTAGCCTGGGTGACAGAGCGAGACTCCGTCTCAAAAACAAAACAAAACAAAAATGAATTCCCTGGGAATCCCTGAAGACAGAGCTTGTCACTCTCCCATCAGACTAGAAAATACCATGAGGAAAGGGGCTGTGTCTGAGGGAGCTCCGAGTGTAAGTGCTGTGTATCCTCCATTAGACCTGGGGCTCCCTGAAGGATATACCTGCCTCCTCCATCGGACTGAAAGCTCCTTGAGAGGGGGGCCTGTGTGTCCCCCGTAATACTGGGAGCTAGCTGTTTTCAGGGCCCGTTTACCTCCCTTCAGGCTGGGGAAAGCTCCCTGAGGATGGGGCTATATTTCCCCATCAGTCTGTGGTTTTCGTGACAGCAGCACAATATCCACCTCGCCCTTCACCATGATCTTCAACCTTCATGATGCCTTCTTCCTCTCCTCTTGCCAGAGCTTATTCAATAAGTCTTGTCTCCGCAGGCCCCTCTGCTGACAGCGTATACACAAAAGTGAGGCTCCTCGAAGGGGAGACTCTGTCTGTGCAGTGTTCCTATAAGGGCTACAAAAGCTGCATGGATGGCAAGGTTTGGTGCAAAGTCAGGAAGAAGAAGTGTGAGCTTGGCTTTGCCCGAGTCTGGGTGAAAGGGCCCCGCTACTTGCTACAGGACGATGCCCAGGCCAAGGTGGTCAACATCACCATGGTGGCCCTCAGGCTCCAGGACTCAGGCCGATACTGGTGCATGCGCAACACCTCTGGGACCCTGTACCCCTTGATGGGCATCCAGCTGGATGTGTCTCCAGGTGAGTGGGCTGCAGGGGCACTGGGACGGGTGGAAGGAGTCCTCCCTGCCCCACACTCCACTAACATCAGAGATAATAAGAATAATACTCCATTAATGGTCATGTTGCAGTGCCCTTATGGCACTATTCATGGCACTATTGCCACCATTTTACAGATGAAAATAATGAGACTTGAAAACCCAATGTGACTCTGAGCTTGTCTGGGGTCCCAGAGCTAGCAGGTGGCTGAGATGAGGTTCAAACTTCGCACTGTCTGTGCTGTGTTTTATTCACTCATTGCTTCAACATAATTCATTGAGCCCCTATTATGTGGCAGGCACTATTCTAGGCTCTAAGGATACAGTAGTGAGCAAAAACAGACACGATCTTGCTCTATAACAATTGCAAATAACAAATTTTTGTAAGAAAAAAAAAAACACCAGTGAACAGGAAAGTAACTCAGTAATGGAGGAGCTGTGGAAGTACTGAGGATCAGAAAACACTTCCCTGAGCAGATGACACTAAGCCGACCCCTGAAAGGTGAGTGTTCTCCAGCCCTGTTGAAATCTGGGTGCTTTGAAGGGCCCTTTGTGGCAAGGGCTGCATGTGCAAAGGTCCTGAGGTCAGAAAGAACTTGGCTTGTATAAGAAAGGCCTATTTGGCTAGGCGCAGTGGCTCACGCCTTTAATCCCAGCATTTTGGGAAGCTGACGCGGGTGGATCATCTGAGGTCCAAAGTTTGAGACCAGCCTGGCCAACATGGTTGAAATCCCGTCTCTACTAAAAATACAAAAATTAGCTGCGTGTGGTGGTGCATGCTTGTAACCTCAGATACTCGGGAGGCTGAGGCAGGAGAACGCTTGGACCTGGGAGGCAGAGGTTGCAGTGAGCCAAGATCACGCCATTGCACTCCAGCCTGGGCAGCAGAGTGAGACTCTGTCTCAAAAACAGGCCCCTCTGCTGACAGCGTATACACAAAAGTGAGGCTCCTCGAAGGGGAGACTCTGTCTGTGCAGTGTTCCTATAAGGGCTACAAAAGCCGCATGGATGGCAAGGTTTGGTGCAAAGTCAGGAAGAAGAAGTGTGAGCTTGGCTTTGCC